TTCCTTGTGTTACCTCTGGATGTTCCTCTATAGTTTGTATCAGAGCATGAATAGCTCTTTGAACTGGAGTGTTTGTGTACATAGACACAACATCAAAACTTACTAGCCTATTCTCCCCTGAAGGTGTTTGCTGATCAATCAATTTCACAAAATCATGAGAATTTTTAGCAGAATATAGTCAAAGATTTAAAGTTTTCCTTAGTTGTATGCATAAAAAACGTGATATTTTATGCATCACGCTTCTTTTGCTATTTACAATTAATCTTAGAGGGACCCTCTTTGTGAACCTCAGGGAGACCGTAAGCCTTGAGGGCCCTTGCATCCCTTTGGAGTAGTGAATTCAGTTTCCACTTCCAGATTTAACCATTGCTTACGCATAGCTTAAGGGCATCCTCTAGCTTAGTCTTAAGTCTTTCTGTTGGATTTCTCAATAAAGGCATATACTTATCAGTGTCATTCAAATAAACTAGCATTTTTTCTACATAACATATCCATAACTACCACTGCTCCACCTTTGCCACCTTAAGACTAGGCTAAAGAATGCCCTAAATAAATGCATAAATAATAGTGAAATAGTGAATCGGAAAATTAATTAACTACTCCAGAGAGATGCAAGGGCCCCTACGGCCTACGGTCTCCCTAAAGTTCACAAAAGGGTGTTCCTTATAAGATTAATTGTAAATAGTATAAGAAGCGTGATGCATAAAATCTCGCCTTTTTTATGCATACAACTAAGGAAAATTGCCCATTTTTTGGTATATTCAGTTAACAATTTTTATGAGTTTGTCAAATTGATTGATAAGTGGACACTTTCATAGAACGATTTGCTAGTAATTTTTGATGTTGGGTCTATTTATAAATACAAGAATGAATCCCAGCTCTGATGATGTCCATCATATGATGGATGTAGTCAGCCTGTTTTCACTGGAAAAAAGGGAGGAGATATCGTGGGCTGCATCAATCTCAACATCGTATAAAAGCCAATCGGCTGCAGTACAGTGGGATTGAACCGTCATCTTCTGGTGAGATCGACCCTCAAATATCTGCTTCATACACTTTTATACGAAATGAAAGTCCCAACTATAGTGTTATCACAGGAGATTCATCGAAACCCAGTTACTCTTCTGATTTTTAAAAAGTACGCCTTCTTTCCTATACTATACGCTGGATTGATACGACTGAAAAAACCTTCACCATCTATATAAAATATTTCCAGTTGTCTTTTTATCTCATATACAGTGAAATTTATGAAGGCTCTACTTCATTTCACCTAGCAAACCCGAATCGCCGCTTGACTCATATAAGCTGGAATGCGTAAAAGCAAGTGTTTTCTGAATAAAATATGGGAAGAAAACCGGCTTTATTGCTCTATAATTTTTTGCTTCGTTTTTACAATTCTAGTAAGCAGAAGGACTATATTGAGATGATGATGCTTCACGAAATGAATTCTTTGGTCTTGCTGTTTTATTTTTTCAACTCTATCAAGGGGAAACCATGTTTCACTGATAAATTATGCATCTCTCACTGAATTGATGAAATATACTTCGGTGCAATTAATTTAGAGTACGTGTTAAAGCGTAAATGTATATGTTTAGACTATCAATTTTTTGCTTTGTTAAAATAAGAAGCATTCTCAGGTCGAAAATTTCTTTCTTTAATCAATGTTTTAATTGATCGTTTGTATGAACTCCAAAATAGTGTAGCCTCTATTTTGATCTCCGGTCCCTTCCTACTGTATAAAATTGGTCTGACCTCGTTTTCGCAACTTATTCATGTCGTCTGTGGGACCTTTAAGAACGTACCTTATCCGCTGTCCTATGCTATTAGTAATCAATGATTTCTAACCCCAGACCATGAACCTGGTCGACTGCTAGACGCTTCATTAGAACCACGTTGCGACTCGTGCAAGACACAGATTTCATCAAAATCTCTTGTATATTTGACGAATTTTACCTACACCTAAAGACTGGCAAGGCCAACTGATAAAGTGGGCGAAGAGCCTAAGAATGTAAGAATATTACGGTCTGTTGCTGCAAATCATCGAGACTATTATGATAGAACACGCCAGACAAGGTTCGTTCTCTAAGGTCGCCCTGACAACATTAACAAGTTGCTAAAACGAGGTCAGACCAAAGTTATCAAGTTTGGTTATTCAGATTACCATTAATTTTTCTCTTATATCTTTTAGAGGCACCTGCCTATCTAATTGATTTGATGCAGGATAAGAATACCGAGATCCGACGATTATGTGATATTATTCTTGACATCATCTCAGTAAGATTCCAGAATTATTTTCTTAAATGTGTTCGTTTCTTTTATTGTGTCTGATTTTATGCTAAACATTTGATTATCTCGATTTGTACGCCTGATTTTCTCAATGATTGTATCACTTGCATGATTTTCATAATTTTCTCCTATAATTTATTTAGACACAAAGTTAGTAACATCCTCTATTTTATGAAGGTGGGATACTTATCTATTCTTCCTTCTTTGCTATATAAATGGCTCCAATCATTTCGAGTATTATCAATATATCTTGCTTAAAAGCTTATTTCTATCAAATTTCTTATCTTTTATATTAAATTAGGATTACTTTGGTGATTCTGGATTGTTTACTTGAAGATTAAATGGAAAATTTCCCCTTAAGACCGCATGGGCTTTTCAGTTTACTTGTGCTTAGCTTATTTTACGACAAAAGCTTCGCATTATTTACCAAGAATATTTACTTAGATTTTTTGCTATGTGTAATATGCAATATGGCATTGATAAAGTGATAAAAACCGGAGCATTTTTAGTAGATATTGCTGATATTTCATATTTTTGATGCAAGCAATTTTCCATTCGTCCTTTAAAAAATTTATTATTCATTTCTATCGTTGTCACTACAATTCATTACTTATTTCCTATTTGCCATTCCAATTATGGTTATGTTAATCAATTTGACCAAAGTAGTTATTCCTAACTTCTAAGTTATCAGAATTATCATTCGTTTGCGTTGTGCACGGCGGTTTATTAAAATATTTACTTTTTTCTCAAATTAATCATCGAATGAGGATCTTATTTGATTGAAAATCTAATTTAGGTGAATTGAGTCATCAATTTAACAGTCAGATCAACGTAATATAAAGCTAAGCAATCAAAAAGAAATATTAGCTAAGTAAGAACTTGAGTCACCCTAGGCTATTTCAGTTGCTGAAGAATCAATAGGTTATTTTCCCACAATGTTTTCAGTAGGCTTTAGGATACCATTAAATTTCACTTAGCCTTGCTCTCCAGAATTGACAGCTATTTAGATCTCGCCTGGATCTCATCAAAACTCCAAGAATACAAGGGCCAATATTAATCACTAAATCATATTGGTTAAGTCGATTAAGCCATAATGCATATGCAGTGAAATAGTCCCGACTAATCTTTTCTTTATTTTTAGCTTTAAATTCTTACTTCAAGTCTGGGATTTATTCTGTGCTATTTGATTAGCCTTAAAATTTCTCAGGCGTAAACTTTTTGGGAATTCACTTTCAGTTTATAAAATCAAATAGTTAAGTTGGGATGAAATGGGATGTCAGAGAATTTTAATAAACATAGATAAGAAAAGGAAGATGCTGTGATCCTCATTTCGATAACAGTCTCCTTTCGATGTATAGAAGTGGTCTGACCTCGTTCTCTTAACTTGGTCGTGTTGCCAGGTGGACCTAATTGAAAACACATTGTCCGTCTTTATCTGCCACAAACTTTTGGTAGAGAGTATAGTAAGGCCTGACCAAGCAGAGCGCCTAGGTTCCGATTTCAGATATAGATATTGTCTGAAATGGCGGAACAAATTGCATAAATTGGGCACGAGATCAATCAGAAGGCAATCAAAAAAAAGAGATTTATACGGCTAAAACACAAAGAACGGAAGATTAGAGGTCATTGACATTCTTACTGGAAAAAATTTAATGGAAAGGAGATTGAAAGAAGACATAATTAGCGATAACTTTGCCTATTGCTTAACGAAACACGAGATAAAGGATACAGATAGATCAGTAAGAAGCATAAACTTGTGTCAAGAACCCATAGTTAACCAGAGAGAAAGGGATCACAAGTAAGAAGTGGGTGATGAACAATCTAAAATCAAGCGAAGACGTTCTTAGTGAGACTAGTCGGCTCATAGTCACAGCTACAACGTCTCGGGCCTGGAGGTCACAAGACTAGAGAGATGGATAATCACAACCACCACAGAAATTCGGCATTATGGCTAAATTGATTATAGGTCCACTATTGATGCAGCAGACCACCAGAGATAGATGTTTACAGTTTGCTCAGGGTATACTGGTTAAACCAGGGAGATGAGCCGTGGAGAATCTATTTGATATCTGGAAGCATGGAAATCAGAGACCAGGCCTTCTGTTAGGTAAGGCGACACTATACTCACTTCTAAAGTAAAATGTATACTGAGGCTGGAATTAGGTGAAATCGGTCAACTAGAGAGATAAGAAATGCATCTACGGACCTATGAAGAATATTCGAATAGGAGGTTCTAGCCGAATCAGCAAACCAAGAGGGAGGATAAGGTAACAGCAGATCTGATGACGTCACACCAAATTCACCAAAAAGGGCACTCCTATAGAGTCGAATCTCAACAAATCAGACGTGATAGGGCAAGAATAGAATAAGAGGGAAGACAGTAGGTAGATGCGTCAGGACAGAAAGAGAAGTAATAGCACAACCGTCCGGCAGAAAGTTGGTCAAGGGATTGACTTCACTTGTCTCTGACAAACTGCAGCTTGGTGTTGAGAATGATACCAACTTGGATGCCAGCGAAACCTCTTGGATTATGATACCTACTAAAATAGAGGACTTTGGACAAGGTGTGTCTAACTAGGTCCTTCTGGCAACACGACCAAGCTGCGAAAACAAGTTTAAGTAAAGCTTAGCAAAATGCATTGTCCGCGTATGGATAGACTAAAGTATAATGAAAAATGCTGAATATGATTTGAACTCAATGTAATTTACCCCTAATGGTCTCAGTTTAAGATAATAGGATTGGCACAAAGTGAAATACCAAAGTATTCATTGTTTCATTTAGGAATACGATTCTGAATGGGCAGAACGAGTAAAAATGGAGAAGTTTCCTTGGCACAACAACCAATGGATTGAGGCAATTCAGTCGGCAGACAACGGGATATCCTCGATGCCCAAAGGATTGCCGTACAAAAAGAATCCAGGATATGGGGCCGATGTGGACTTTCTTGATTTTCAACTACAGGAGGTCGATGGTGATGAGGATGATGAAGATGATAAAGGTATATTAATTGATTCTTGAACATCAGTATCTAGGACAAAATAGAATTTTATCCTAAAAAAAGTTTGCAGTATTTTCCCAAAACAACTAAAGTGCATGCTAAAAAATGGTATTATTATGCGCAAAAGCATGTGATATTCAATCTTTGGGTCCCTATTTCACACTTTACCTCTCATAGTTTATATGCTGTATTGGTGCCATAACTTAACTTTTGAGCAGCATTTTAGAGTTTAGCATCCGAGGCTGTTGAAGTTGTGAATCCTGTGCCCTTGAATCCGCTGAGACGATGCTCAAATAAGTCAGATGTTATGCGCATATATATAGAGAACTGATAGCTGGATTTGTAAAATTCAATGGAAAATATCCCAAATTTGCCTTATGGGCGTGTGAGTCCGCGGCGCATCTTCCTATCTAGATGACTTCATTTAGAGCATTCGTCTATTATGGGATAGATATTTTCTGGGCCAGTAGTCATTATTTGACAGTTCACCAAATACTAAGTGGTGGCCAGCTCCGATTCCACTTGCCTCTTATAAATTAATTTTGATGTCTCAATGAGACCTCTTATGCTTTGATTGGCTGCTTCATGCTTAACATTGTCTTCTTTTAGGAGCAAGGTCGAGACAAACGTCCGTTTTCTTACCAAAATCACCTTACAAGTAATCCTGCAATATTGACGCGCTTTTCGGTA